GGCAGGGTGCTGGGGTCAGGGACATGGTCCTGCTGGGCACTAGGGTGACTGGCAGGGTGCTGGGACAAGGAACAGGGTGCTGCTGGGTGCTAGCGTGGGTGGCAGGGTGCTGGGGCCAGGGCCAGGGTGGTGCTGAGTCCTGGGGTGTGAGGCAAGGTGCTGGGGCCAGGGCGGAGCTAGGGTGGATGGCAGGGCTGACAAGGAGCAGGATAGGGATGGGGTGCAGGATCTGGGAGGGAGCTGGGGGGTGGAAGGGGACAAGGTCTGAGTGGTAGGTAGGGTGCAGAAGCAGGCTGGATGTAGGATGTCTGGCTACAAGGGAGGGTGCGAGGAGGGGACTTGGGTAGGAGTTGGACCTCCCTGATCTGGCACCCCTCTAGACATGACTGGTCCCAGATAAGGAATTTTTGGACCAGCTCCAGCTCCAAATATTGCTGGAGCGTGGGCACCACAAGCCCACACAACTTGCTGCCCATGCCTCTGCTGGCTAGCCGGCTCTCTCTGTCTCTCTCTTTTTCAGAGGGGGCGGGAAGCACCGGCTCCTCGCAGAACCCCTCGTCTTGCTCCGTGGAACCCCAGGGTTCTGCGGAGCACCAATTGGGAAACACTGGTGTAGTCAGTTAACTGATTAACCAATAAGCAAAGTCTTATAGGTTGATGCTATAGACCAGTGTTTCTCTACCAGTGGTACGAGTACCCTTAGGGGTACTCGAGAGAAGTCTGGGAGGTACGTCAACACAACTGAAATTTGGAGACAACTCAATTTTTTGTTTTAAGTTTTACAGTGCTTTATTATTTTTGTATTTTTTACACCCAAAAATTTTATCACCCACCCAGCTACGATTAAGTTGTTTAAACAAATGTGTTGCAATGGTAGAAAAAAAAATTGTGTGTCTGAAAGGTACTGGGGGTACTTTATAAAAAATAAAAGATTGAGAGACACTGCTATATAGACTACACACAACTTTCCCCTCTTCTTCCCCCCCAGTACATTTTTTAGCAGGTTGGCCAGCAGCCTGGCTCATGATGGGGACCTATCCGTGCTGTAGCTCTCCATTTAAAGTATATTAGGAGCTAGGCAGGCAGGCAGCCCAGCTCAGTTCCAGCTCGCACCAGGTCCAGGAGCTCAGACCCCCTCCTGACAAGCCCCCCTCTCCAACCCTCTTCCCGACAAGCACTGCTGCCACCCCACGCTTCTGCCTGTTTATCAAAGACAGCAGCACAGGGCGACAGACAGCTGGTCCGGAAGGGGAACTGGTTTTTAAACTGGCTCCCCTTGCGGACCAGTTCCTGCCTGGCACCCTGCACTGATGCTTCTGCTGCAGAGGCAGCAGCGCAGAGTGGAAGGGGAGTTCTCAAAAGTGAGGCCAGAGCAGACTGGGCCCCAGGGACTACGGAATAGCTGACTGTTAAGAATTCATGAGGTTACTCGACTGTTCAGTTAACCAATATTTAACATACCTATCACCTAACTTATCTCTCTCATGTCCTGGGACAAATATTGGTGTAACAGTCTTACAAAGTAAAAAGAAGTGTCACCAGGAAATTTATTTTTACACAGAACTAGGTTATGAAAATCCCTTTCAAGCTATAGTTTGCTGTCTTGATAGGCAAGGGTACCATTTTGGAAGGGTGAGGGGGCGGCAG